ACCCATGTATAGTCCTCTATATAGGCACGTTTATAGTCCTCTATATAGAGCCATGTATAGTCCTCTATATAGGCATGTATATAGTCCTCTATATAGACCTATGTATGGTCCTCTATTTAGGCCTTTGTATAGTCCTCTATATAGACCCATGTATAGTCCTCTATATAGGCATGTATATATTCCTCTATATAGACCTATGTATGGTCCTCTATATAGGCATGTTTATAGTCCTCTATATAGACCCATGTATAGTTCTCTATATAGGCATGTATATAGTCCTCTATATAGACCTATGTATGGTCCTCTATTTAGGCCTTTGTATAGTCCTCTATATGGACCCATGTATAGTCCTCTATATAGACCTATGTATATAGTCCTCTATATATGCCTGTATACTGTATAGTAAATAGTAAGGTCAATAGTCAGGTTTCCAGTATATGTCAGTATATTAAGTCTATAGTATTGTGTATAGACCGTAATATAGTGCGGGAAAGAGTCTGGTTTATATTCTGACCAAGATCAATCAGAGTAAACAGTCTGACTGACATGGACAGTGACCAAACACAGTTGATGTTTTTATGTGGCATTTAGTGAAGTCAGAGCAGACACGACTCATGACACACACACACACACACACACTCACGTTAGCAGCCGACCCCAGCGTGAGCTGGTTCATCTGTGCTGTTAGTGGAGTCATCATGGTCACTGGTGGAGCTGAAACGCCACTGTGATCGAGTCCTGGACTGATGATCGACCCCTACACACACACACACATCAATGAACACTTGTTTGTATCGATTGAGTTTGAGTTGAGTAAATATAAATGAAACCACCACACAACACACTGAAATGAATTCAGTGAATATAACGATTCCATATTATGTGGCAATTCATCTGTCTGGCTTTAATGCGGTGACAGAATGTGAGCTGAATAAAGTCAATAAATGATTTAAACGCTCAAGAAAAGCATGAGGAACATGGTAAAGAATGTGTGTATCACCGCAGTCGTGTCACAGTAACTCATAAAGGAGTTTCTTGCACCAAAAACACTCACAATTTAGTTTTTAATATCAATTTCAGCCTCTCTGATGCAGCAACTGCTACTGTGCCTTTAAGAAGACTTGTGCATGTAAAAGTCGCATAGAGACGAAAGGTCAAAGGTCACTTACTGTCGGTTGCATGACATACTGATGTTGGGGCATCCATGCCGTACTCTGAACCTGTGAGCAACAAGACACACAAACATGTGTTCACAAAACATAAACACTGTCCACACACTCACACACACACACACACACACACACACACACTGTGGAGATACTAGTTAGTCATCTGTATATCTTTTATATGGACTGTATATGTGTGTATATATATATGCGATGCGTCATTACACAGATATGAGATTAATTTGAACATATTGTTGCTTAATTAGTGAGTAAATGTGTGTTTTCTGAGAACAGAAGATGACGTTCCTCTGCTCTGAGGATGATAAATCAATCTGAGAGTGATGGATCACAGCTCTCCTCCTCATCTGACAGCGCCGCCTGCTCTCCTTCTCTCATTTGTTAGTCAAATCTCCTGTTCAATATGAGCGTCAGAGCAACAACTGAATCCAGTTAATTCCTCACACACACACACACACACACACACACACACACGTTTATGAAGACTATGAGGAGGTGAATGTGTCTGTCCCTGATCATATTCATTACATGAAGCTCACATTTCCAGCTCACAGGAGATCAGACCGTGTGTTGACACGTGGAATCTCACACACACACACACACACTCACCTGATAAGTCGACACAGGTGAAGCGGTGATGAACGGAGAGATAGACGCCTGCGCGATCATCCGGTTAGTAGTGATGCTATAAGGAGACGAGTAGAAACTGCGGAGACAAAGACAGGTTTATGTACAGAGCAGAGACTTTATTTTAAAAGTGTGTAATATATTTATATATATATATATATAACTCAGACAGTTTCCTCTGATAACAAGAGATCACTCTAAATTATAATGTGCACTTTCTTTAAAGCCTTTTTTTAAAATGATGTGTGTTGTGAAAAGAGCTATACAAATAAATGTGAATTGAATTCAATTCAATACACACACACGTATATATATATATTAGAGCTGTCAAACGATTAATCGCATCCAAAATAAAAGTTTGTGTTTACATAATATATGTGGGTGCACTATGTATAATTATTTTGTATATATATATATATATATATATATATATATATAAATACACACACATGCTTGTATATATTTTCATGTATATATTGTATAAAGATTTATATTTAATTTATATATAAATTTTAAATATTATATATATATATATATATATATATATAAATATTTTATATACAAAATAATATTTTTTTCTTAAATATACATGCATGTGTGTGTATTTATATATAAAATAACTATACACAGTGCACCCACATATATTATGTAAAAACACAGACTTTTATTTTGGATTGTTTCCTAATATATATATGAAGAGTTCAGATGCAAAAGCCTCTAAGTGCCATTTGAAATTTTCTTCTAGAATGATCATTTTTGTCAAACTTGTATATTTAAGTTCAGTAATTTCACTTAAATAACAATTAATAGGTAATTATCATTGCCATTTAAGTGAAATCACTGAACTTAAATATACAAGCTTGATAAAAATGATCATTTAGAAGAAAATTTCAAATGACACTTAGAGGCTTTTGCATCTGAACTCTTCATATTCATATTCAAAATGTAAATTATAATTTGGATTTATGCCTATTAGAACCACGTACTAAATTCATTTTTAGTATAATAGTATGTCAATGATAGCTAATTAACAATGGTGATGCATTTGAACACGCTCCAGTGTTATTGGCTGCGTCCTGTAGGCGGCGCTGTGGAGCTCGACCTGTAAATAATCAGAGCTGACAGGAAGTGATCTCGTATCAGACGGGATGTTTCATTAGGAGATGGACACAGGAAACAGGAAGTGAGGGATTTCCTGTAAACAAAACACACTGGGAAAGGCAATCTTTCCTCCTGTCTCTCTCTCTCTCTGTGTGTGTGTGTGTGTGTGTGAGAGAGACGTACCCGTTCTGCATTACGGCAGGCTCGTATGTGAGTGTCATTCCCGTCTGCAGAGACACACAGAAGCGTTAACGTGTGACGGTGTGTGTGAACAGCGGCTGTCAGTCTCTTTCTGATCCTGTTTCAGCGGATGAGTGTCACTCCGTCACACGAGCGATCTACACTCACACACTTCATGATAACCAGAGCGAGTTTATAGGGAGAGTTCACTTGATAAAAGTGCATCTATCCATCATAAAAGTGAGTGAGTGTGTGTGTGACGTGTGAGCTGTGTGCAGATGTTCATGACTGGAGACACACAGCAGGTGCGTCAGATCTGATCTGATGATGATGATGATGATGAGCCTGATTTACTGTAAATGACACATAGTGTGTGTACCTCCGTGTGTGTGTGTGTGTGTTCTCACCTCTCCTTCGCTCCACGCTCGGCCGTTCTGTGTATATTTATTTTGGGTTTGTCTTTTCTTCTGACCGCCATCAGCAAACTTACACAGCAGCGGCTCAGACGGACCTGCAGAGAGAGAGAGAGAGAGAGAGAGAGACACCAAGAACTCTATGAGCCCTAGAAGAGCAACATCTGAGCAATAACATCCATAAGTCAGCCGTTCCTCCAGTGATGTTAGATACAGATACAGTGTGTGTATGGCAAGCCGTTTTAGCTTTTATTCATTTCCAGGATAGGAATTCTTGATATCAACAATTACATTGTTGATATCAAGAATTCAATTGTTGATATCAAGAATTACATTTTTGATATCAAAAATGTAATTCTTGATATCAACAATTGTATTTTCACTAGTGAAATGTCCCCATAGGCTGCCATTCAAAACCAATTGTTGATATCAAGAATTGATTTCTTACTAGTTGAAATTCCAATTTCACATATCAGAAATACAATTATTACTAGTAAAAACCTTTATTTTTGATATCAAGAATTAAATTGTTACTAGTTGAAATGTCTATTCTTGATATCCACAATTTAATTGCTACTAGTAACAATGGTCATTTTTGATTTCAATAATTACATTTTTACTAGTGACAATGTTAATTTCTGATATCATGAATGTGATTGTTACTAGTAAAAAAGCCATTTTAGATATCTGAAATAATATTGATATCAGAAATACATTTTCAGATATCAAAAATTGTCATTTAATTGTTGATATCAATAATAGACATTTCAACTAGTGACAATTTAATTATTGATATCAGGAATTCACATTTTTACTAGTAACAATATAATTATTGATATCAAAAATGATATTTCTACTAGTTAAAAATCAATTCTTGATATCAACAATTCATTTTGAATGGCAGCAGCCTATGCCGTTTTAGCTTTTATTCATTTCCAGGATATGAATTCTTGATATCAACAATGCCATTTTTGGATATCAAGAATTGAATTGCTGATATCTGTAATTGTATTTTCACTAGTGAAATGTCACCATAGGCTGCCATTCAAAATCAATTGTTGATATCAAGAATTCATATTCTGCGAATGATTAAAAGTTAAAACGGCTTGCCATAGTGTCTGTGTGTTAGTGATCTGTCAGGCCATGAGGAACCAAACAAGCATCATTTTTCACCCACTCATCACGTTTGACAAATGACAGCGCTCATGCCGATACTGTACTGAACACGGAGGCGTGTACCTGGGACGCCCGGAGGAGGTTTGAGATATTTCCCATTGAAATGTTGTATGACAACTTCACATTTCTCCGTGGACTCCATCCTGAAGAAGAAAACACACACACACACACGACAGACATTCACACGCATGACTGGAACAAAACGGACAGCAGGAAATCACAACGTTGTGTTTTGATTTGTTCATCAGAAGCTGTAAAATAAATAGCTGTAAATAAAATTTACTATAAAAAATACGGTAAGAACATTTTAAGTTTTACAGACTTAACTTGAATTTACAGTAAAAAGACGTATTTCACTATCTAAAATCATGTTAATTTTCAGCCCTGTTGAAGTACTGATATACGTTTTGTAGTGTTGTAATACACTGACAACTAGAGCCCGACCGATAAAGGATTTTGAAGGCCGATACCGATACAAATATTTTTGGGTTTTAAAATCCGATATATCGGCCGATATTTTATTTTTTATTATTAAATATTGTTGGATTTCACACACGTGTAAAAGAAAAGCTAACTTTTCTGCACAAGATACGTTTGATACTTTTTCTCTCTGTCTAAATGTTCACTCCTCGCGAGTATAACTTATATTTTACAATGCAGGGACTGTAACTAGAGATATGCGAGTTATAAATACAGTAATCATTACTTTATTCAGGCAGAAAAAGTTCATTGTGGTTTCCAAGCTCATTAATGTTAACATTAGCAGTCTTCCACTGATGATAGTGGCATTAGCTAGCTTTGTGGTTAGCTAGTCTATGATGAGCCATAATTTAGCAATAGATGACATCATACTGCAAATTGTAAATCAAACATTTTCAATATAACTGGGCAAGGAGAGATGATTAAAGCGTGTTTCGTCCGTTTTTATTTTATTTTTTAAATATTCATTTATCGGCCATTATAACTGCCGATACCGATATTATGAAAAATGCCTAATATCGGCCGATAATATCGGTCTGGCTCTACTGACAACCACCAATCACAGTAGAGATACAGGTCACATGATCAATCAAAGCTCATCACAAACAGCTTTATCATCATAATAATAAACAGAAGCTGCACAGAGTCATTCACACAAACACTGAACACCATAATGGTGACACGCATGAATTTAATAAACATCAATTTAAAAACATTAAATAACTTAAAACTCTAACGTACATAATTGATTAGAAAAAACTAAGAAAACTATAAAGAAACAGTTATTTCAAAGTGTTTGAATGTCAATTTACGGTTTTTCACTGCAAATTCTGCAATGATTTGTTCCAAAAACTAAATCAAATAAAATTAAAATAAAACTGTTAACGGTATTTTGCTGTAGAATCACTATTGTTTATGTATAAATTAAATGTTCTGTTTGATATATAACAGTTATTTACCGTATACAGTACGGAAACTTATTAACAGTTTTTCACCGTAGCATTTTTACTTTTACCGTTAAAATCACGATATCTTTTTTACAGTTGACCCTCATTAGCACAGAAAACACCTTATATAAAGTCTATTAAACACACTGTCTACTGAACACACACACACACACACACAGCGCTGGTTTACCTGGCGAAGCCGACGCCTCTGCTCACGCCGCTAGCGTCTCGTAACACGCGCGTGGAGATCACATGACCGAAGGGTCGAAGCGCCGCCTCCAGCTCCTGTTCGTCCATAGAGACGGGCAGATTAGACAGGTACAGGTTAGTGGGGTCCTGCTCCTGCTGCTACACACACACACACACACACACACACACACACACACACACACAGATCACTCATGTGACTTAAACACTCACATTTATGCTGTAATTGACAGTTTGAAAGATTAAAATTGGCCAACTTCAGCATCAAAGCAATAAAACATGTCAAAAAATGTATTAATTAAAATAATAATCAAAAATCTAAATATTCAGCGATACCAAAATAACATTGCTGAGAAACAGATATTATACATTGCGTATTTTCACTGAATTTTTAATGAACAATCTTGCATTACATGATTTACAAAAGCATGCATGATGACAAATGAACATGAACATGTGACTGTACGAATGAGAGTTTGTGAGGACAGATCAGGGTTCGACTCTCATTCACACACTGACTGATCAACACACTAATAAACTACAGTGAGAGAGAGAGAGAGAGAGAGAGAGAGAGAGAGAGAGAGAGAGAGAGAGAGAGAGAGATCCTCTGTCACGTTAATGTCCTTTAATACCGAGTCAAACACGCTTCACTGTAATGGAGTAAATTACACTGAACTGAAGCCTGTGTGTGTGCGTGCGTGTGTGTGTGTGTGTGTGTCCGTCTCCTACTGGCATGTACATGTTCAATGTGTTGCGAGTTTTGGAAGGATTGCGTGACTGGCACAGGAAGCAGACGTGCCTGCTAGTGTGTGTGTGTGTGTGTGTGTGTGTGTTTCCTCCTGTTGTGTAAACAAACGTAAACACACACACAAATGTAAACACACACTCCTCCGCGCATATGTTATTTATTGTGGGAAACCTGTATGTGTGTGTTTGTTGTCGAATATGCTTTCAGAAATGACAGGAATCATGTGACCAGCGATCAGTGTGTGTTAATCAAGAGGTTAATAATGTGCGTTTAAACGTTTATTTCCTCTCATTCTGTCTGTATTAAATGCTCCAACACACACACACACACACACGCACAGTGTTTAGAAATTTCCAGACCTTTTACATTAATATATATATATTTCTATTTCTTTCCATAAAATTGCAAATATTTACGAATGATCCACTTCTGCATCACATCCACCGTAGAATAAATGATTTTCAAATAATATATTGGAGTAAAACACTCCTTCAGTACTTCTAAAAATGTCAACATTATTTTACTTGTTGACACTTTACTAGCAATTTTATTAGTGAAAATTGTACAATTAATATGAGGGCACTTTAAAATCCCACTTTTTGTCTATATTTTAACATCGAATGCAGAAAAATTGGTACTCTAATAAAAAATGTAAGTATTTAAGTAACTTTAAATGTTAAACAGCAAGAACTTACAATTTCACTCATGATGCACTTTGGGCAAAGCATAGTGACAAATATTACATACACATAAATATTTGTAATATCAAATGTAATAAATGTAGCTTTATGTGACGTTTTTGATTAGACTTGATATAAAACAGAAGTCACCATTACAGTATGGTATTACAGTGTCTGTTGTAGGTTCATACAACTTGTTTTTGTTTTATATTTTATTTCAGTTAAAGTTGACGTAACAAACCATCGCGGAGTCCAAACCTCCATAATATACATCCAGAGTAATGTCCGAATTCATCAAACTAATCCTTATATATTTATATATATTTGTTAAATTTTGATTGTTTGTGTTGTATTTTGTGGTTTTAAAATATTATTTTGCTGATAAATTAATACATAAAATAAATTCATAAAGTGTGCGGACACTATCCCATGATGCCGCGGGAGAGGATTTAAGCGACTGACGCCATAGGTCACATGACCCTGACAACATGGCGAATGAAGCATTCAGTACACACTTTTTTAACAGTTCCGAAGTAAGTTTCAAACCAAATATACACTCTTAGAAGAAAAGGTTCTATATAGAACCTTAAAAGGTTCTATCAGCGGCGCTACGTATTTGGAACCCCCAAAAGGTTCTATACACTCTTAAAAAAAGGGTTCCTCTGGGTTCTATATAGAACCCTGCGTTCCGTACTTGGCCAATAGAACCTTTTACCAAAAAAAAAAAAAAGATTCTATATAGAACCATTTTGGAGTTCCATATATGAAGCGGGGGATGGAACCATTTCTGGTTCTAAATAGAACCATTTCTTCATACCAAGAGTGTAGTACAACACAGTATGAGATTTCCCACTAAACAAGTGTGTGTGTTCATGTATCCATGTGAAGTTACAATATATGTGTGTTTGTTCAGGACATGTAAACACATGCGGAATAGTATAATTGTAGTTTAGTCGCTCACGCCACTTGCTGATTATTATTTACAGTGTGCTTGAAGATGCATAATTCACACAAAGCATCATGGGAATAGTGCGGATACAAATCTCTATTCCTATGGAAAACATGGCCTAATGAGTGCCGGATCTTCCCGCCATTTCAGGCCAGAGAGGAAATTTGCAAGTGATTAGCATCTCATTATCATACGATCACAGTGAACCGAGTGCAGAAAACAAAACTGAAATATCATTATTCAAACTAACGACTAACAAAACTGATTCGGTCTTCTGGCGTGTTCCTGGTCGTACTGTGAATGATTTATCAGAGCAAGTTATTCTAAAAATAAGAATAATATTAATATTCTCCATTTTTGAACAACTTTTATGTCCCACTGATGCCATCTGTCTCAGTTCTGAAGGGCAATGAGAGGCAGTTTGAAAAATTGACAGTTTGAAAGATTAAAATTGGCCAACTTCAGCATCAAAGCAATAAAACATGTCAAAAAATGTATTAATTAAAATAATAATCAAAAATCTAAATATTCAGCGATACCAAAATAACATTGCTGAGAAACAGATATTATACATTGCGGATTTTCACTGAAATATTTCACTTTAATGAACAATCTTGCATTACATGATTTACAAAAGCATGCATGATGACAAATGAACATGAACATGTGACTGTACGAATGAGAGTTTGTGAGGACAGATCAGGGTTCGACTCTCATTCACACACTGACAGACCAACACACTAATAAACTACAGTGAGAGAGAGAGAGAGAGAGAGAGAGAGAGAGAGAGAGAGAGAGAGAGAGAGAGAGAGAGAGAGCTCCTCTGTCCCGTTAATGTTTGTCCTTTAATACCGAGTCAAACACGCTTCACTGTAATGGAGTAAATTACACTGAACTGAAGCCTGTGTGTGTGTGTGTGTGTGTGTGTGTGTGTGTGTGTGTGTGTGTCCATCTCCTACTGGCATGTACATGTTCAATGTGTTGCGAGTTTTGGAAGGATTGCGTGACTGGCACAGGAAGCAGACGTGCCTGCTAGTGTGTGTGTGTGTGTGTGTGTGTGTGTGTGTTTCCTCCTGTTGTGTAAACAAACGTAAACACACACACAAATGTAAACACACACTCCTCCGCGCATATGTTATTTATTGTGGGAAACCTGTATGTGTGTGTTTGTTGTCGAATATGCTTTCAGAAATGACAGGAATCATGTGAACCGAGTGCAGAAAACAAAACTGAAATATCATTATTCAAACTAACGACTAACAAAACTGATTCGGTCTTCTGAATGATTTATCAGAGCAAGTTATTCTAAAAATAAGAATAATATTAATATTCTCCATTTTTGAACAACTTTTATGTCCCACTGATGCCATCTGTCTCAGTTCTGAAGGGCAATGAGAGGGAGCTGTGGCTAGCAGAGGACAGAGATGCATTATGGGATTGAGTTCCCTAATTACAGCGCGATCACAGTGTGCGACTCAGACTCATCTCACACTGAATACAGAGCTTTACACTTACATTTATGCATACATTGCATTTGAAGGAACACATTTACATTCTCATCAGTTCTTGGGAATCGAACCCATGACCTTGGCGTTGCAAGCGTTTGAGCTACAGGAAAGCTTTTTCAATTAAATGTACATTTACATTCACTAAAAGCCATTCATCAGAGCCTAGTGTTGTCAAAAATATCGTCTCTGAAACGGTACCATCTATCTGTGACGCCGTCATAAAGCCGAGCTTGCGAGAACCAAACTGACTTCTTTCTTTCGTGGCTTATTGCGCTTTAACAGTCAAATACATACAAAATTAAGTAAAAATGCCCGTGTCGCTGAGTTTTCAGATTAATACAGTCAGTTGTGTAACAGTATACTGGATCCGTGCAGAAGCTCTTAAAGTGACAGCAGCTTAATAAACTTCAAGATGTTCATCAAACAGAAGACAAAGAAAATCACTCACCGCTCTTAAATAAATAACTTTTGTAACTAATTGTAAGCATCAATTTTTTATTTAATTGTTAAAATGAAAGCTATCCAGTGTTATTTTATACTTGATTACTTCCAACTGTTTTTTTGTTTGTTTTTTTTGGCATTAATACTTTTAAGTTTTTATGATAACTACATTAGGAACCAAGAAGCCAAAAATACACAGAATATCCCCAAAAGAACAAAACTATACAATCTCAAAATAAATCATGTATCGCAGATTCTGCAACCAATAAACAGTCACTGCAAATATAAAAAAATGTCTAGACGTGTACTGCAAATATTGTTGGTTTGTGTACTAATATACCAATACATACAGTACAAATTAGAGTACAAATTTGACCGATAGTTTTAGATTTTGTGTATTATATGGGACTTTTCATTAGAAACGAGCCTGGGACTCTTATTTTGAAATGTCTACGCGTTACTACTTTCATCTGTTCATTCTTACAATCATCTATATCATATAAACACTATTAAACATGATCATTGTGACGTGAAACTGCTTCTCAAACAAGAACAAATGTGGGCGGGGCTTGATTTTGAAAATAAAAAATAAAATAAAAATTGGGCCATAATTCATGTCCTGTTTTTTTATATCCACATTTAAGATCTCTTATAAAGACTTTTATTTTACAACCTTAAATGTGTTCAAACTGAATGCGTTAGGACAGCTGTGACTGTGTTTACACACACCGGTTTCTGTCAGTGCGGATCCACGAATCAGGTCTGATGACACGGGCGTCACAAACATAACACACTAAACCTCGGCGCATTTGACGAGAAGCTCGAGTCCTGTCAGTAAAGAGACACTGTGAGGATGAGGGATTCATTTAGAGTCACATCACCTGATTCTGTGTGTGTGTGTGTGTGTGTGTGTGTGAGAGAGAGAGAAACAGAGGAGAGAATCTGTTAGAACAACTAATTAACACCCGACTCGACTGTCAGACAGTAACGAGAGAGGAGTGTAGATTTATTATTAAGCTCACAAAGGAGGAAAGACAGAAAGCGCTTCTCATGAATATGGAGCAACTATGACTTGGACATCTACGATTCTTTTCTTTTCATAAATGAAATATTGCAGTGTTTATTCTAAATGATTTATTGGTGCACATCATTATTGTTTTAAACTAGGGCTGTCAAACGATTAATCGCGATTAATCGCATCCAAAATAAAAGTTTGTTTTTACATAATATATGTGGGTGCACTGTGTATAATTATTTTGTATATATATATAAATACACACAAATGCATGTATATTTTAAAAAAAATTATTTATATATAAAATATTTGTATTTACATATCATATAAATTATATATAAATCTATACATACATGAAAATATTTCTTAAATATATACAAGCATGTGTGTGTATTTATATATACAAAATAATCATACACAGTGCACCCACTTATATTATGTAAACACAAACTTTTATTTTGGATGCGATTAATCGTTTGACAGCCCTATTTTACACTCATGTTCCCATTCTCTTCTCTGATGATGTGGGCGGGGCAACCTGTCACTCACATGAGATCCACCAATAGCAAACCACGACCATCCAATCAATTTCTCACAGACAAAATCAAGCCCCGCCCACATTTGTTCTTGTTCGAGAAGCAGTTTCACGTCACAGTAGGGAAGAAAAGACGAACACAACTTCAAGCCGGTTTCAAGCCGACAATAAGCATTAGAGGAACTAAACTAGTAGAAAAACACGTATACTAGTTCTCTGAAGAACATTAGGATGAAAAACAGACAAACCACCAGGGTTAGTATTGGCAACTGACACTAACTCATTAACTGAAATAAAATAAAATGTTAAAAAGTACTTTTATCTAGTTGCCAAAGCAACATTTCACATTTTCTAACAGCTTAACTTGATGTACTAAATTTAACTAAAACAAAAATTAAAAACAATAAAAACTAAAGCGGTACAAATGAATAAAAATGACATTTAAAAAATATATAATAAAAATATCTATTAAAAAAATTTGTAAAAAATTAAAAATAAAAATTAAAAATAAAATATCTCTGAAAAAACAAAACTAACAAAAATAAAAAAAACCTCATTCACTCATTCCCTGTGAGTCGAACCCATGACCTGAAATATGTTGTAAACGCATCAGATGTCTGTTTGAATGTGCAGAGGATAAAACAGCTCATAACTCATCCGTTACAGGCATGACGATGATGATGATGATGATGATGAAGATGCCTCACCTTCGCCATCTGCGCCTGCACACCGCTGGCCTTCAGAGACAAAACAGCCTTCTGCGCCGCTGCCGGACAGTCGAAGTCCACGAAACCGTAACCTGCAGACACAGCAGAACCGTAACGTCAGGTCACATGACCAGTGTTATCAGGTCACATGACCAGTGTTTTCACCAGTGACCAGTGTCTTGCTCTGACTCTACTGTTCGAACTCGTTCATCAAAATGAACGAATCTTTTTCGAGTCATTTCGTTCGTTGAATAAACCAAATGACTCGAAAAAAGATTCGTTCATTTTGATTAACGAGTTCGAACAGGAGAGTCACAGAACAGAGCAAGGCGAGCATTTGAGCTTATAAAACTTAAACTTTGTTATATATTTTTTAAATGAGCGATCGTTTCGCTTGATAAGACCCTTATTCATCATCTGGAATCGTTTAAAGCCCTCTGAACAGTTTGCACTAAAACTCTCATTTGGACCTTGAACCGTTTGGACCCCATTGAAGTCCATTATATGGAGAAAAATAGTTCACTTTGAAATTAATTTTTGATATGTTTTAGCTTTATATAAGTACACATTGATGGCCTAAGACACGAAACGAGCGGTTTGTGTGAGAAAACTAACAGCATTTATATCGTTTTTACCTCTTGTAATCATAGCCATGACAAAATGATTCGGCCAACACGGGCGCTTCGGTCTGCTCGCGCGTCTACGTCACTCTTTGTTTATACAGAGATTTGGGAAGTTTTACCTTTCACTAAACATATTTAGATATACGGGAAACCGCAATGGAAGACGATTTCGGGATATCTAAATATGTTTAGTAAAAGGTAAAACTTCCGAAATCTCCGTGTAAATATTGAGTGACGTCACACGCAAGCGATCACTTCCGGCGTAACATTGAACTGATTCAGTTCGGTTCAGTTGGACATTGAACAACTGATTCAGATCACTGTGATTACACGAGGTAAAAACCATATAAATACTGTTGGTTTTCTCACACAAACCGCTCGTTTCGTGTCTTAGGCCATCAATGTGTACTTACATGTACGAGTCATTAAATCATGTTTAATCTGGACTTCTCTGTGCTGCTCTTTGAGGTGGTGACCATAGACCTCCATTATATGACTGATAGACAACAACGGTTTGACCTAAAAATATCAAAATTGAAAATACTGTGGAAACAAAGACCCTTGAGGTAAGATAAAACATATCAAAAATTAGTTTCAAAGTGAACTATCCCTTTAATTTCTTTTCGACTGAAGAAAGAAAGAAAGGAAAACCAGCGCAACGAAACACGCTTTTCATGATGCGATGATCACCTTCAGCAGGCGTGGCGTGAGGATCCTCTCAGGATTAAACCCTGCACACACTCAGCCCTGCGTCTCCCCCGTTTCTCCTGACCTCATCCATCAGCGAGTCGCGAGGAAACCCGCAAACCCCATTACCGAGTTATGAGATATTTATGAGTGACCGCTCTTTCCCACAATCCCTCACTCGTCCTTTATTTTCCGTCACACCTTCATTCTCGGGGCTGTATCAGCAGATAAGGGTCACACTGGTGTTAATTAAAATTTCATGGCAGATTAAATGCATACACACACACACACACACACACGGTGTTTGGATTAAAGCCGTCAGCGGCGGCCCGTTATCCAGGAGAGATGAAGGTTTAATTAGAGAGGAAGTCGGTTATAAGACCCTCTTCACACACCAAATCCTCAAATCCTTCCTCACGGACACACTGGGGAAAATCATACGAGCGGAAAGCTTTAGAGTTAGAGAAGGGCTAGGTCACCTCAGAAGTCATACTCGATACTCCAAGGCCTGTAAATGAGCAAAACTTGACTGTCGCACAATCTAAACAAAGCTTTATTTGAACTCTATAAAGCCCACTGTTTTATTGATGCCATGCATTCGTTTTTGTCACAGTCAATCTCTCAGTCCTGGCTCTGATTGACAGTTCAGACTCTTAATAGTCTTGTATTATAAGTGTATAAGTGTAAGTCAAGGAAACGCAGGAATAACTTTCATATTGTTCGTAATATTGAAACAGGACTGAAGGAGGTTTACTTTAATATCATCATCATCGTTTATTATCAAAATCATAATACGAGCAACAGGTTTATTAGTTCATCTGTCAATCATCATTGCATTATGTTTGAAAACTACAGAGCTTTGATCATAAAACTAATATCGTCTTACTATATTAATGGTAGAAATTGATATTGGTGTTCATTTTATGTCGGTATCTGCTATATTGAGACTATATTCGTCAGTTTTGTCCATATAAATATCAACATCAGCTCCAAATTGCATATTTTTGCTCAGTTTGAGCCTCTGAATAAAACTAAGCTGTTTGGTCCTCCATATTCTCACTATATATGAGCCATAAAAGCTTGACGTATCAAATTTAATTCAAAACCCATGCAATTATTTTGTCTAAAGGTTCAATAATTGATGCTAATAGACATCTGTAACTAGAGAATATGAGAACTAGAGAACTATAACAGAGACAGACGCAGTTATGATGATGAGATTAGACAATAAACCTGCAATACTTCAATCAATACTGCAAAACTGCATATAAACGTTTGCTCGTGTCATCTAAACGTCTCACTGCGATTACGTCCATTGTTGGCGTTCAGAAACTAACTATAATAAAGCTAAAACATCGATATAAACTTAAAAAAATATAAAAATTATATAATCAAATTAGTGCTGACAGAGGCAACTAATCGCATCCAAAATAAAAGTTTGTTTAATATATGTGTGTGTGCGCTGTGTAGTTATTTTGTGTATATATATATATATAAATAGACACACATGCATGTATATATTTAAATATATTTATATATATACATAATTTGAATATTGTGCAAAAGATCAGTAATTCAACTTAAAAGGTGAAACTAATATATCAGACTCATTACATGCAAAGTGAGATATTTCAAGCCTTTATTTGTTATAATTTTGATGATTATGGATTAGATATGTACGAAAGCCCTGAACCGCAACGTTAAAAAAAAAAAAATCTGTAAAAAAAAAAAAACTGTAAAAAAAAAAAAACTGTAAAAAAAAAAAAAAAAAAAAAAATCTAGCATTTCCAGATTAAAGTCGAAAATTTTTGAGATTAAAGTCGAAAATTTTAGAGATTAAAGTCGAAACATTTTGAGATTAATCTCGAAACGTTTCGACTTTAATCTCGAAATGCTAGATTTTTTTATTTTTTATTTATTTTATTTTTTTACGTTGCGGTTCAGGGCTTCCGTAGATATGAAAACCTTTCACAATATTCTAATTTTGAATTTGGGGTTTTCATAAACTGTAATCGATAATCATCAATTATAACAAATAAAGGCTTGAAATAGCTCACTTTGCTATATAATATATTAGTTTCACCTTTTAAGTTGAATTACTGAAATAAATGAACGTTTGCACCATATTATAATTTTTCCAGTTTCACCTGTATATTATAAAATATATATTTTATATTTAAAGAACACATTTTTATTAAATATATACATGCATGTGTGTGTATTTAAATATACAAAATAACTATACACCGTACACACGCATCTATCAAACAAATGTTTACTTGGATGCGATTGATCATGATTAGTTGTCCAGTTTAAAGCAGGCGTTCACCTTTGCACTGGTTTGTGTTCTTGTCCAGGATGGCCTTAGTGGAGACGATCTTCCCATATCTGTGAGGATAGACATGATTAACATTATCAGACATTAAACATCAATCCAAGAGCATCATGGGTACTTTTACACGGTTTACACGTGCACTGCAGTTTTCACAAGCGTCTCGTGTTCCCTGTTATTTGCACGTTCCTCCGCATTTAACAGACACTTAAAGAAACTTGCAGAAACAGTTTTGTAACGTTTTATTTCTCACTTGAAATCAATAAGGAGCTAATAAAGGTTTCTTACAGTCGGAGTCAGTGTTTCGCCGCTGTACCTTTCAGTCATGATCCTGTACGAGCTTGAACCACAGTGTCAGAGAGTGTGTGTGGTTCAGCCAGAGTGTGTGTGTGTGTGTGTGTATAAATAATCTCAACCGTGTCAGTGTGTCTCAGTCTGTCATCTTTTCTCTCTGTGAGTGTGTGTGTGCGCATGTGTGTGTGTGTCTGTGAGTGTGCACACGTGTGTGTGTGTGTGTTGACTCACGGCTGGCAGAGTTTGACGAGGTCGTGGTCGCTGGTTCCAGGGTGAAGTCCTCGGATGTACAGGTTGGTTCGGCTGAGCGGCTCCACTGCACTACAGCTGCTCCCGGGACTGGGCGGGGCCATCGAGTGAGAGGGCGGAGCCATCGGGTGAGGGGGCGGGGCATACGGCTGATGACACACAGAGCGGGAGGGGTTAACCTGCATGTTCATACAGAGCTCCTCCCACAATAATCATCCACATTAACATCTCCATTCTCCTTTATGAACATATCCAGTGGAGTTCATCTAACAATGAGTACCTTCAATCTGAGAATCACTCCACTGGGGCAAAAGAAAAGAAAATAACGGCCAAATGAGTCAATATTTGCATGTTTCTGGATCAAAGAGCACCAAATCGTGCTTGTTTTATTGCTTCAGTGTGAGTTACTGTCTATATATATATATATATGAAGAGTTCAGATGCAAAAGCCTCTAAGTGCCATTTGAAATTTTCTTCTTTAATGATGATTTTTATCAAACTTGTATATTTAAGTTCAGTAATTTCACTTAAATAACAATTAATAGGTAATCTTCATTGCCATTTAAGTGAAATTACTGAACTGAAATATACAAGCTTGATAAAAATGATCATTTTAGAAGAATGAACTCTGAACTCTTCATATATATATATATATATATATATATATATATATATCAGCATCAGACCTAAACACATCCTTGTGAGACCACGCACTTCCTAACACTATCCCTGTGTCTCTCTCCCACGATCCCTCTCTCTCTCTCGGTGGCCGTCTGTGTCTGTAGGAATGTGAACGTCACACACACATCGATTAGCTTTGTCTTAAAGGTCAGGCGTTTTACACAATGAGGCTGAAACACGCAGAATAAACACTAGAGTCGACTTATAATCGGGTTTACAGATATTTTCCTGTTATTTAAGCAGTTTGCCATAATCATGTATCGGTTTTGTAATATATCGGTTATATTGGTTTTTAACAGCTGAATGTGTTGAAAAACTACATTACCCATGATCCTTCAGAACATTCCACCAATCAGAAGAGTCGAAACAAGCTAAACACCAAGATCTCTTTAGCTCCGCCTACTCTGCCAATGACGTAATCGATTCAGTCTCAAAATGCTCTCAAAATATTTCAATACTCGTGTATTTATAAGCATATTTTGCAATAATCTTCAAATATATTAATGTCTATGTATATGATTAGCATTTTTAAATGAGTAGTTTCATATTTCTCCACCGTTTTTTACAGTATTTTGCAATGCTTCGTGGGATTGTAGTTTTTCCTCTCAGTCAAGCCGTTAAGTTCACAGTTTTCTCTTTCTTGAAATCAAAGTTTGTTCTGCTCTGATTCATGACTTAAAACTCTTTAAGGGTAACTTTATTTAAATCCTTATGGGAGAAATGAATGTGAAAAAGCTTCCAGAAGCAGCGCAGTCAGAGCTAGCTATAGTGATCACACACACACACACACACACACACACACACACACACACACAGATGTATTACATCCCTAAATGAAACTGTTTGTGTTTTGGGGGGAAGAAAGCATGTATAAATTGATTTCCCACGACAGGCTTCCTCAGATCTACTGTTCTCACTGTTTCTACACGACACACACACACACACACACACACACACTCGGCAGTATCAATTATGATCAACTCTAATATAGAGAGGATTTTGATTGAATCTATAAATGTTGACATTCATTTGCGCCCTGAGCTCACACACACACACACACAGGAGATTGAATTGGTTCTCTGTCTAGGTCACTTCTCAATCTATGCAGGTTAAGGCAACAGCGCCAATCACACACACACACACAAGGACACACATGCAAAAAAGGACACACACACGCTCTATTTCATCATTAACTGCCCCTGCGTTACAGTGATTTCTGAAGGTCATGTGACACTGAAGACTATTTTTACTGTATATTCCCATGGAAACGGCTGTTTCAGATTATAATATTTCAGTGTTTTTATTATATTTTTGATCTATAAACAGAGGAGAGAGTGTGTGTGTGATTGAGTTTGTTCTCAGAGGAGCATCATGGGAAGATCACAGGAATCAGAGTTCAGAACGTTCGGAGACGCCTGATGAGTGTATGACGAAGGAACCGGTTTAAACGAGAGGAACGCGAGCGCTGTCGTGCTCTCTGAACTCTGCACACGCGACACACACACACTCCTGCGACAGGACGGCATGAAGATTAGCTCAACGCCACGAAACAAGCTGAACGTCTGAACGAAACAGATGTGAAGAGCTGAAGCTTCACACAGACGAGCGTCACACACACACACACACCTGCTGGGTGTTTATAGATCGTGTTTAACAACACACAGATGTGCAGTATTTCATGCGTGCATCATTAAAACATCTACAGAAACAACAACAAATTTAACACACACACACACACACACACATACACACACAGTCTTTAACTAATATTATACTATATATAAAACTATATCAACTTACCAGTTGATTAAATCACACTTATTTCTGACATATTGTTTCAATATGCAAATGAAATATAATCTAATTAAATATGCACTAATTAGCACACATGTCCAGAACAGTAATCTAAAGCCAGGGTGATTTTGTTGATATATGTGAAGGTTTTTACAGAGGCGATTTCGGATTTCAGTTTTTTTATGACTGTATAAATCTGAAAAATATTGTCAAAAGACAGAAACAAATACATTTTCAGCATGTTTTTAGGAATAAAATGTTATATAAATCGGGTAAATGACGTATGAACAAACCTTCAGAATACTGAAATGAATAAAAATAAAGATTTTCGCTGCATTTTTATTGCAAATAGATAAAGTGCACTTAAATATCATGTTCAGGCATGAAACTCTAGGGGGCGCAGTCCTTTGCATGCAATCCGCAAGCAATCACATCATTAACGCATGGCACAAGCTGATTGGCTCTCCTGATCCTGCAGCCAATGAGATCGCTTGCTCAACATTTAAAGAGTCTGGTCTAGTGTTTTCTGAAAGTCATCCTCATTTATTTAGCGCTTTAACAATGTAGATTGTCTCAAAGCAGCTTTACAGAGATAAATATATCATTTAAGGTAGCAGAGATTGGTTGGGTTTTATTATTTTGACTTTGAACTGAACATGTGATGAACTGAAACGCTGATGGCGTTCACACGCGCTTTAAGAACTGATTCTATAGTTATGCGTTTGAGTATATGTGCATGATATATCGGCCAACATATCGGTATTGGCCGATATATGTTCATTTTTATTGTTATCGTTATCAGAATGGTAAGAAAATGTGGCCGATAAATTAAAGCCGATAAATAATGTATTATTCCCTTCAGCTGAGACACTTGTTGAGAACTGTTTATGTTTTTGAATTTCTTGAAATATGATTGAAATCTCTTCAAAAAATTAAAATCTGGTTCGGGACAACATGTGCAACGCAAATCTGTCATATCGGCTGAGAACATCATTATAATTGTGCGCTTGGGACATGCATTTAATTGTGAGACTTTTGTTTTTGTAATCAGGCTCTCAAAATTAGATAAAAAATTTGGATTTAAGTTTATCGGCCGATATATCGGTTTTCAAATATAAAGAATTATCGGTATCGGCCAAAATGTTCATATCGGTGCATCCCTACAGTCACACCATCCCTAAACAAACTACTGGTCTTGCCTATAAATTTTAATACAGAATTTTCTTTTATTTGATCAATGCTGTGTTGGTGTCTATAAGCAGCAGAAAATCCATACCGTTAGCATGCTAAAACTATTGCGCGAGTTGTCAAGAATAAAACGTGTATTTTGGATGTTTTCCTTTTACAAGTAAAATTATGGAAGCAAAATAGCCTTAGAATCTCAAAATTGACCAGTAAATCAAAACATGTTTTCTTAAGATACTAAAAACATCCTGAGGACACAGACGCGCGATTACGAAAGAGCAGTATCTAGCTAAGCTATTATTGAAATGTCTATGACTACAGTATAAGCTACAATATGTAGCTTTTTTGGCCACAAGAGGGCACAGTTTCCAACAATAACAAAGGCATATGTTAATGACGCAGTGATGAGCTGAATGATGGGACTTGCTGTCAAGCTGATAGATCTAATGAGGATTAGTGAAAACACTCATGTTTTTTAACATTACAGTGGTATGAAGCAGGTCGCGATTGCTAATAATAGACATATAACGCGCGAGTCCCGTGGATATAAAGGAATAAGGACATTTCATCCTATTGAACTACAAGCAAGTGCTGGATTACTCACATAGGTCAGTTTAATAGACGAATTAAACTTGTGAGGAAACGCAGCGCTGTTCCACTTGGTATAACGCTACACTATATTACGTTATAATGTTATTCTACGTGTTAGTTCGTTTGCTATACGAAACTAGCAGCTAGATCAACATAAGTATAACATACTGACCATATTCTAACATTTCATCATGTCAAGCTAACGTTATAACATTGATTTGTTTTATGTACATTTGCTCACATGTCTAATAAAGCTGAAAAGTCGTGACTCGTAAAGTTCTGTAATTAGCCGCGGCCGCTAGCTTTCGGCATCCCAAAAATATCACGCTGATGTTGATCCTCATTTTAGTTCCCCTTGTTTGTCCCAAAGTCTGCTTGCCATGGTCAAACGCTACTCACTACGCAGTTGTCCGCGTCTGTCACCATGGTTACGTCATGGCTATGGGAGTACGAGCGGAAACGATGATAGCGCGGATATTGCGCCATTGACATCTTTTTCCAGGATGGCCACTTATTAAAAAATTGGGATTTCTCTGAAATAAAGAACTTTGGAGACTTTTGGGATATTGAAAGTACACAACTGCAGGACATATATCACACTCTGCAGGTCATTTTTGGATATTATATTACAAAATTCTTACAGATTGGACCTTTAAGATCTAAAGATTCCCTGATATTCCCATGATCATGAGAAACTGATCCTTATGCATACACATGCAAACACAGCGGATGACAACAGCACAGCTGCAAACCCTAAACAGAACATGAATACACACCCTATGACACACACACACGTTTAGCTGTGTATGCAGCGACAGTAAAAAGCGACGCTAAATCAATTCTACCTTTGAGACCGTCCCCGAAGGGAGGAAACATCAGATATAAATCACTTCTGGAAGCAAATCTGTCCTCAAACTATAACTAATTAAACACACACACACACACACATGATCTTTTAAGCCCCAACTGAGGAAGACAAACGTAAAAGTGGTGTGTGTACATGTATTCGCACACTCACTCACACACACACACCTTCTGCGTTTGTCTTGCTCAGTTAATTAGATCAGGTAATTAATGTTAACTAATGAAGCGTATTGTAAATGTTCTAGAAGAGCGTGTTTTCGCTAGATGTGTTGAATAAACACTGAACTCTATAATCTTCGGCTTTAGCTGGAACTGAACTTATGAACACTGTTATGAACGGTTTGAATCAATCTGTGTTGTGTAAAGAGCTCCAGAAATAAATGAGATTACAACCGTCAACTCTTGTAAGTGTCAATCAGTCCTTCATCATCATCATCATCATCATGACATGATCTATTCATATATGTTTTGTTTGTTTTTTTTATGATTTAAATTTAGTATATTAATGCGTTGGCAGCATCGCGATACACAGTCATGCTAATATTGAAAATTGAGCAGAAGCGCGAACAAAGAGAGGAGAAGTGTGTGTTTCCCGATACCTTACTGTAGTAGCAGGTGAGATACGGGAACATCTGATGCGGATCCAGCGCCTTTCCCATCAATCTGCAGTCTGGAGTCCCTGACGGACCGGTGCGAGGAAGAGGAGCTCCTCCGAGACACTACAGTCCAGCACACACACACACACACACACACAGAGAGAGAGAGAGACAGTCCGAGGTCCGTTCCAGCATGAGGAGAGGAGAGGAGCGTGTGTGTGTGTGTGTGTGTGTGAAGCGTGTGATTCCTGCTCCAATAACAGCATCAGGATCAGGGGCTCGACTGTGGAGAGAGAGAGAGAGAGAGAGAGAGAGAGAGCGAGAGAGAGAGAGATCCCTCTACTGGTGATAAATGAAACAACACGGCAGAAGCATCAATTAAACACACATCTGTGTCTCCAAACCTCGTTAACTGCCTAACTAGACAGCATTCGGGGTTTGTACATTTCCATGGAGTTGTTTAGCAGACACTGGCCACACTTATACATGAATCCCAATCGTTTCCTGAAGATCCTTCATTTAAACATTTACATTTACATTACATTTACTCACACTCTCTCTCTCTCTCACACACACACACTCGCTCTCTCTCTCTCACACACACACACACACATCACTTGTTTTGAAGACCCAGTTAGATATGAGAGAGAAAAGAGAAGAGACCTGATGTAAATAGAGCAGAACGGATCTCTCTCTCTCTCTCTCTCTCTCTCTCTCCTCCCCTCTGTCTCTGTTCACTGTAGTTCAACACAACGGTGTGTGTGTGTGTGTGTGTGTGTTCCCACTTTATCTTCAAATCAGCTGTTTAACTCCAGGTGTGTTTCAGTTCCCTGTGGTTAAACTCATCCTTGCTTCAGTCGTGTCTGTGTGTGTGTGTGTGTGTGTGTGTGTGTGTGTGTGTGCGTGCGTGTGTGAATGTGTGTGTGTGTGCGTGTGTGTGTGAATGTGGACGAGCGGAAATTAAGAATTTTCATCTTTCACTGAACAACTCGTATAGTAAAGTCACTGACTGAGTCCGAGGCTCCATAAATACCCAAACTTCTAAACTATCTGGTCTGAAGTGCTGGAGAACAGCTGTCCAGACACCAATAGTCTTGCCCACGTCCGGCACACATCCGGTAAACATCCGACACGCATCCGGCAAACATCCGGCATGCATCCGACACGCTTCCGACACGCTTCCAACACGCTTCCGGCAAACATCCGGGATGCATCCGGCAAATATCCGACACGCATCCGACACGCTTCCGGCACCCTTCCGGCAAACATCCGGCATGCATCCGGCAAACATCAAACACGCTTCCGACACGCTTCCGGCAAACATCCGGCAAACATCCGACACGCATCCGGCAAACATCAGAGACGCTTCCGGCAAACATCCGACATGCATCCGACACGCTTCCAACACGCTTCCAACACGCTTCCGACACGCTTCCGGCAAACATCCGGCAAACATCAGAGACGCTTCCGGCAAACATCCGACATGCATCCGACACGCTTCCAACATGCTTCCGACACGCTTCCAACACGCTTCCGACACGCTTCCGGCAAACATCCGGCAAACATCCGACACGCATCCGACACGCATCCGACATTCGAACACGCAAACATCCGGCATGCATCCGGCAAACATCAGAGACGCTTCCGGCAAACATCCGACATGCATCCGACACGCTTCCAACATGCTTCTGACACGCTTCCAACACGCTTCCAACACGCTTCCGACACGCTTCCGGCACGCTTCCGGCAAACATCCGGCAAACATCCGACACGCATCCGACACGCATCCGACATTCGAACACGCAAACATCCGGCATGCATCCGGCAAACATCAGAGACGCTTCCGGCAAACATCCGACATGCATCCGACACGCTTCCAACACGCTTCCGGCACGCTTCCGGCAAACATCCAGCATGCATCCGGCAAACATCTGACACGCTTCCGACAAACATCCGACACGCATCCGACACGCTTCCGACAAACATCCGGCATGCATCCGGCAAACATCTGACACGCTTCCGGCAAACATCCGGCAAACATCCGGCAAACATCCGACACGCATCGGGTAAACAGATGTGGGCCGGATCTGGGCCGACACTGTTGCTGTCTGGGAATTAAACCTGATTGAGGACGTGGATCGAGAGTAAACAGGCCACTGCATAATATTACAATTCACATTTAAAGAACAATCCACTTCACTATTCCCTACATATAAACACACACGAAATAATAAAACGAAGATTCCTCGTGCTTCCTTCAATGGCATGTTTTGTTTTGGAAACTTGGTCCTGGTTTGGGCCTCTCTGTTCTGATGTATTTAGCTGATTATTATGGGTTATGCATAATTTAATATGCATTAAAACAGTAAACTTGACAATCAACTCGACATTTGCAATATCTGGAGATCTGCTCTTTGGAAGCGACTTGGCGAGAGTCAGCAGGACACATCATCAGTTTCATATCTATACGTCATCAATATGAGATGAATCAGATTAACACTCACCGTGTGGTTCAACGTTAAACACACACATGTGTGTGTGTGTGTGTGTGGAATCAATCCCAGAATGCCCTGCAGATCTCCATCGCTCCCGGAGCTGTTCTGGGGAAGGAGGTAATCAGACGCTCATCAAACATTAATGCGCTCAAATGGCATAATGGGCTCTGATATGAAATCTGCAATTACCTCTTATGCTCATATTACAGCAAATGACTGACATGACACACACACACACACACACACACACTATATTAGTGCGCTCCTCTCATTGACTTCCATTGGTTTCCCGATCCGGGCGTCGTGCTCTGGAAGCTGCACAGATTTATTCTGAGGATGATTAATATGATTAAAATTGAAAAAATTAAAAATGAATACATGTTCATTTCTGATATACAACTTACACAGTTTCCTCTGATAACAGTCTCTCTAAACTGCGATGTGGACTCGAGCACTTTCTGTGAAGCTGCTTTGACACGATGTGTGTTGTGAGAAGCGCATTACAGATAAACGTGAACTGAATGATGATGATGACTTTGATTCTGCATTGATTCAGTTTTTTCTTCTCTTGCTCTTTCTCAGCTCTCGCTCGAGTCCGTCTCTGCCGGTCCAGATGGTGGAGTGTGTGATGGAGAGGCGAGTGAACGGCCTTGTGGGAAATGCTGCAGACGTGCTGTCCGCTGTGTGTCATCCCTCCATCACTCCTAATGAACGAGAGCGCTGGGGGTTCTGGGTAATTGAGCTACTCACAACACTGAGGGCCGTGTCAGACAAACACACAAATCAAGAGTGATGGGGTGCTGATACCCTGCAGGCCTTTAAAGACACACACACGCACAAACACACACGTTTTTTAATTGTTTAACTTTTATTTGGTTTTATATTGATTGTTTTATTTTGATTTATTTAAAATAAAATATTTTATCATTTACTACTAATTTTTTTATTTTGGTTGCCTTATTTTAAATTTATTTATTTGTTTCAAATTATTAATTTAAAATTAAAATTAAATTAATTTTAAATAAAATATTTCATTATTTTCTATTAATTAATTTTCCTGTTTTATTTTTTATTACTTATTTTATTTTAAATTGTAATTTCTTATTTTATATATTATTTTAATTAATAATAAATAAAATATTTAATTATTTTCTATTCATTGTTTTAAGATTATATATGTAATTAAATATTTATTGACTTAAAACAAAATGATTTTATATAGTATTTTGTTTTGATTAGGAATTTTATTGATTTTAATTGATTTTTCTTTTTAAATTGTTATTTTCTACTAATTGGTTGTATTCATTTTCAATTATTTCTTTTAATTTTGTCTGAACATCTGAAAAAACTCTGGGATTGAGATTGAGCCGACACACACACACACACACACACACCTGAGGTGACCGATAATAATCAAGGTTAAACAAACTGAATGCCTTAAATGTGAAGCAAATAGTCTAAATTGCTAGTAACATTTCCCATGATTCCTGATATGATCCACACTGTAGAAGGAAAGAGCATTTACATTCATGCTTTAATCCAAAACTTCTTATTTTTATCTTCGCAAAACATAGTTGCAGTATGTGTCTTCTTAAGAGTGATGTTTGTGTCTGTCGGGTTTATCCTGACTGCACTTCCCCTCGGGATGAACACAGTGTTATCTCATCAGTTCCTGCATTCCCAGGATTCGAACCCTGACCTCAGCGTTGCGGTTTCAGGGTCAGAGATGTGAAGCGTCGTCACGGTGACCGGCTGATGCGCAGGGACAGATTCTGATTGGCCATTTCACGGTTTGCTGGCTCACTTTCCCTCCGCCGGAGATCTCCTGCTTTCGTGAGGAACACGAGAGACGGCGACTGGAGCATAAATGTGAAGAAGAGCATCGTCATCCTTCGATGTCTCACACACACACACACACACACACACACACAGTCCGCTCTGAAGAGGGAAGACGAGGGGAAATAGACTGAGGAAACAGACAGAGATCCAGCCGAGATCTCCTCAGGTGTCTGGGTAATTACCATGGAAACAGCTCCATTTCCCTGTGCATTATGGGGTGGCGGAAGTGTCCCTGAAGGCGTACTGTAGTTTTAAAAACACGACAACATGATGACCATGGGCTGTTATGAGTCTATACTATAACAGAGCAGTGATCACACCGAAAACCCCTAAAATATTGAGATTTACTTATTACTTATTACTCATATTTAGGGACTTGAACTGAATTTAAGGTCATTTTTTAATCATTTATCACAGTCATATTTAGTGTTTTCCGATGACATTTAATGGTTAAATAAAACATTCAAATATTTTTTTAGTAAACGTTTTCATTGTTTTATTTTATTTTAGCGATGCATTAAAGAACTATATCAACTGTTAAACAACAGATTGGAGATTAAAATAATCTCAGATTATCAAATTTTATATAAACACAAAAAATAGAGATGAAAAAATTAACTTAGGTAAGAACTGTTCTTTTGCTATGGTTAAATGTTCAGTGATATCTTACAAAGATTTCTGAATTTTGGAGCCATCTTTTTCTCTATATAGTGTTGAAATGGCAACTAGTAAATACACAAAGTTTCGTCATTTCGTCTTTACCGAAGCTAACGTTACCGAAGCTAACTTTACCGGAGCTAACTTTACCGAAGCTAACTTTACCGGAGCTAAGTTTACCGAAGCTAACTTTACCGAAGCTAACTTTACCGAAGCTAACTTTACCGAAGCTAACTTTACCATAGCTAACTTTACCGAAGCTAACTTTACCGAAGCTAACTTTACCGAAGCTAACTTTACCGAAGCTAACTTTACCGAAGCTAACTTTACCGGAGCTAAGTTTACCGAAGCTAACTTTACCGAAGCTAACTTTACCGAAGTTAACTTTACCGGAGCTAACTTTACCGAAGCTAACTTTACCGAAGCTAACGTTACCAAAGCTAACTTTACCGAAGCTAACGTTACCAAGGCCAACTTTACCGTAGCTAACTTTACCGAAGCTAACGTTACCGAAGCTAACTTTACCAAAGCTAACTTTACCAAAGCTAACTTTACCGAAGCTAACGTTACCAAGGCCAACTTTACCATAGCTAACTTTACCGAAGCTAACTTACCAAAGCTAACTTTACCGAAGCTAACGTTACCGAAGCTAACTTTACCGAAGCTAACGTTACTGAAGCTAACGTTGTCGAAGCTAACGTTACCGAAGCTAACATTGCCGAAGCTAACGTTACCAAAGCTAACTTTACCGAAGCTAACGTTACTGAAGCTAACTTTACCAAAGCTAACGTTGCCGAAGCTAACGTTACCGAAGCTAACTTTACCGGAGCTAAGTTTACCGAAGCTAACTTTACCGAAGCTAACTTTACCGAAGCTAACTTTACCGAAGCTAACTTTACCATAGCTAACTTTACCGAAGCTAACTTTACCGAAGCTAACTTTACCGAAGCTAACTTTACCGAAGCTAACTTTACCGAAGCTAACTTTACCGGAGCTAAGTTTACCGAAGCTAACTTTACCGAAGCTAACTTTACCGAAGTTAACTTTACCGGAGCTAACTTTACCGAAGCTAACTTTACCGAAGCTAACGTTACCAAAGCTAACTTTACCGAAGCTAACGTTACCAAGGCCAACTTTACCGTAGCTAACTTTACCGAAGCTAACGTTACCGAAGCTAACTTTACCAAAGCTAACTTTACCAAAGCTAACTTTACCGAAGCTAACGTTACCAAGGCCAACTTTACCATAGCTAACTTTACCGAAGCTAACTTACCAAAGCTAACTTTACCGAAGCTAACGTTACCGAAGCTAACTTTACCGAAGCTAACGTTACTGAAGCTAACGTTGTCGAAGCTAACGTTACCGAAGCTAACATTGCCGAAGCTAACGTTACCAAAGCTAACTTTACCGAAGCTAACGTTACTGAAGCTAACTTTACCAAAGCTAACGTTGCCGAAGCTAACGTTACCGAAGCTAACTTTACCAAAGCTAACTTTACCGAAGCTAACTTTACGTTACGCCGTCATGCCTGAGTGTGTTGTACCAGACTGCACACGAGCAGCAGATCTCGCTCATTGTTTTTCTTCCCGGGAGATGTAGTTCATGAGCGATTTTCACATAAAACTAAAAGTTACTCTTCTGTTCTATGACAAACTTTCTTGACTTTCATAATTATCTTTTAAATCGACAAACATCATATGTGATCAATATCATATGTTCACCCGCTAGAGAAGCATTCAGGTTTTCCGCTTGCAAAGTCCGCCACGTAAATTGCGAATCCGCCATGGAGTGAGCGCAACTGGCTGTTAGGGAATGGGAGATGAGACTCTGATTGGTTTATTGCACATTACGCCCCAAACACACCCATTACTCATTAAGAGAACAGGGACAACCCTTTTAGTTTTAGACCATGCACCAGGAGCACCGACCATTTTCCCTGTCGTTAAACTAGCAAACGTGTATTCAGACACACACTAAGTGCACTTCAGACCATACGCTTAGACCCTTCAAAGAGGGCCCCGAGTGTCCATAATGACCTATAACGTGGACGAGATCCACTGCCGATCAGTCAGAGAGACTGTTGCGTTCGACAGTGTCCAGGCCGCACTCAAAAGCTCATTAAAATCAGTCCCCTGGCGTCTTTTCATCTGCATTATGACAAAACGTTTCGTTAGGCAGAACATTAGCGCTGCCAAAGCAAGAAATCTCAATCTGTTTGAGATACTTCTTGTGTTGTGAAGGCGAGATTGGCAGCGAGATCAACAAACCGTGGATGGAGGTGGCAGGTGTAGTGAAGATGGGTTCTGTCTCTTAATGAGCTCGGTCTCCGGCGGATCGGATTTCACACACACAGCAGATTTCGCCGGCTCCACACTGTTCATCACGGGGAATTGGAGATCCACAGACTCCTGGCACAGCAAACACACACAGAACAAAACTGACTTCTTCAACGTGAGACTTTACAGGACATCTTTCATATTTCACTGATATTAGGATGCAAAACCAGTTCAAAACAAATACAAAAAAAACTAAATTTATGATTTTAACTAATGCAACCAATAATACAATGATGTATTTTGTCATTTACTACAGCAGTACTGGAGGAGAAAGGCTATTTTCTGCATGAAAGAGAACTGAAGTGTGTGTTTGACATCGGTCAGCGGCAGTCCTGCAGAGCCTCGGTGAGGAGAAATCGATCTGAACGAACGGACTCTTCTCCTCCAGCGCAGGAACGAGGGATCGCTTCTAATCCGGCTCTGATAGGCATCAGAAACAGAGGGATGACATTCACCAGCTCACTCACACACACACTTTCTGTTTCATCAGTACGCCAGTCGTGAGTTTGAGAAAAATGCATTATTATGCTTGCAACAAACTCAAGGAATCCTTAGTTATGACTAAACGTCCTTCAGTCTGCCGACCTAGAAAAATGACAGCAACATGTTCTAGTTTTCCCTATAAATTGTTTTAATATTATTTTTAACTTATTTTTAAGGAAGGTTAAAGGGATAGTTCACTTTGAAATTCATTTTTGGTATGTTTTATCTTACCTCAAGGTTCTTTGTTTCCACAGTATTTTCAATTTTGATATTTTTAGGTCAAACCGTTCTTGTCTATCAGTCATATAATGGAGGTCTATGGTCACCACCTCAAAGAGCAGCACAGAGAAGTCCAAATTAAACATGATTTAATGACTCGTAAATGGCCTAAGACACGAAACGAGCGGTTTGCGTGAGAAAACCAACAGTATTTATATCGCTTTTACCTCTTGTAATCACAGCCATGACAAAATGATCTGACGGCACGGGCGCTTCGGTCTGGAAGTGATCGCTTGCGCGCCGACGTCACTCTTTGTTTATACAGAGATTTGGGAA